TGAGTTTAGATGAATCAGCCTCTGTGGCTCATTTTTTGCCATTTGTAATAACTTCAGACAAGTGTTCTAGGTCTTAAGTCAATCAGTTTTTGCAATGCACTTTGAGACTGTCATATGGAAGATGCCTTGGACCAGATAAAAAGTTGATGCAATTCAGGCCAATCTGACTAGGCATGTCCACATGTGCAGGCATGTGCACTTGTAGCAGCTCCAACAGAAGTAACACAAATCTGAGCCAGGGCTTTTTGCCTCAGCACACATGCCAACATGCACTTTGGTGTGAGGCAAACTGTCCCACTTGGGGCAAAATAACCCTGCTTAGTTCCTCCCAGATCTGCAGCCAGGGGGAACTAGACGCTGAGGCCAGCACCTGTGCTGGCCCCAGCGGTACAAAAACCTGCCCTGTGCCAGCCTCAGCAGTATAAAAAGCTGCCCTGGCAAGTAGTTCATTCTCAGGAACTTCTGGAAAGTGCATGGGTCTACCGACGACGCATGCAACCTGCTGTCTGGTCCAGGAGGTGAAATCTGGTTTACCTCCCTACACCTTTGCCTTTGTTAACCAGGTCCTGCACAGTGTCAGTCCCCACCCCCTCCCCCACCCCACTGGAGTTTGTTGTGGGACCGGCACCTTGCCCAGCCTCACGGCGCTCCCTGCTCTACCACCTAAGCCAGCTGGAGGACACCAGACCGGTCTGCTTTTCCAGCGCCCATCGCCGCCACCTCTACACACTTGTGTGCCACACGATCCACCATGCTGCCCTCACATCCTGCTCAGACACCAAGTGGAGGAACCTGCTTGGCAAGGGCGTGGCTGGGGCACCCTGGTGGCTGAATCTGTACTCCATCCTCATCCCATGAACCACTGGGGACCTCAGCTGGGGGCTCCTCTATGGAGCTGTTCATAGTTTCATAGTTAGTAGGGTTGGAAGGCACCCAAGCAGATGATCAAATCCGACCCTCCGCCACGCGCAGGAAAGAATGCTGGGGTCAAACAACCCTGGCTAGGTGATTATCTAGCCTCCTTCTGAAGACCCCCAGGGTAGAAGTGAGCACCACTGCCCTTGGAAGTTGGTTCCAGATCATAGCCACCCTGACTGTGAAGTGGTGCCTTCTAATGTCTAGCCTGAATCTACTCTCAGTCAACTTATGGCCGGTATTCCTTGTTACTCCCGGTAGTGCTCAGGGGAACAGGGACTCTCCAATAGCCTGCTGGTCCCCCTTGGCCAGTTTGTAGATGGCCACCAGATCCCCTCTCAGCCTTCTCTTGTGGAAGCTGAACAGGTTCAGGTCCCATAGCCTCTGCTCGTAGGGCCTGCCTTGCTGCCCCCTGCTCATGCGAGTGGCCCTCCTCTGGACCCTCTCAATGCTGGCCACATCCCTCCTGAAGTGCGGCGCCAAGAACTCCTGAGCCACCTTTTTGTTTTTGGTCACCCCATCCATGGCCCCATTAAGTCCTGGGACCTCCTGGTCAACCTCTTCCTGACCCTGGCCAAGTGGGCTCTGTACTTGACCAGGAAGGAGGCTCTGGCCAGGAAGGTGCCTGGAGACTGTGGGGCTGGCTTCTTCTCACTTGTCTGTGCACACTGCTGGGCAGAGCACCAGTGGGCGGTGTCCACTGGCTCCCTGGATGCTTTGAGGACTGGCAGGTGTGGCCTGTGTCCTCCTCCAGAGCACTTACTTTCATGTTTTGACCCTATGACCCCCATGTCATTCCTATCCATTTTTTTTTCCATTAGTTGTCCCACAAAATCAGTTGCTCCATTCATTCATTAGCCACCATATAGTGGGGGCTACTAGTTTACTGGGTGGGCCTTAGAGCCCACAACAATTCTGAATGGACAAATAGACAGGAGCTTCTGAGGTCTGCATATCTGCAGGAAGAACACCAATGGGCCGTGTCCACTGGCTCCTTGGATGCCTTTGAGGACTGGTGGGTGTGGCCTGGGGGGCTCTGCTCAGTGTCCCCATCTAGAGCCCTTTTTTCACATTTTGACCCTTTAAACCCCACATCACTCCTATCCTGATTTTTCCTTAGTTGTCCCAAAACAAATAAAAAAGCTGTATCTTTCACCCTTTGGCCCCACACAGTAGGGGCTATTAGTTAGATGGGTGGGCCTTAAGGCCCATGTTAACTGGAAGATACAAACAGACAGGAGCTTCTGGGGCCTGGCTAATTGGTATTTGGGGACGCTACCCCTCATGTCAGCTAGACTGCTGAAGCAGCCCTAAGAAGTCTCTGCACCCTCTAACCACTGCAACAGTCTGGTAGTGGGGGCTGCTGCCTGGTTGTGACCTGCTGCCACCTGTAAAAGCATTTGACCCCAAGGCTGCATGCATGGCAGACTCAGATGGGGACTGCATGGCTTTTAAAGGCATCTGCACCTCTGGGCCAGCTGCCAGTGGGCTGTGGCTGCAGAGTTGGCCTTTGTGCAGCACTACTGCCATGTGTGCCACTGCCTGGCCATCTAGGCAGCTATTGCCCAGAAGATGTTCTCAGTATGGTGGTCTGCTCTGAATTGTCAAAGCATGCCCTCCAGGCCCCAAGTGGCCAGGAGTTCAGCCACCTACAGCTGGGTCCCGGCTGCCAGCTCTGAGCAGTCTCCTCTGCCTGGGTCCTGCTACTTGTTTCACTAGCAGGAATTCTGGTGTTCCCTATTTAAAAACTGCAAAATCCCTGAAAAAAAAAATCCCAAAGTCACTCTTTAAAATACCCCCAAAATCCAAGTTCTTCCACAATTAAAACAAAAGACTACTAGATAGATATAGACAGAGAGAAATCAAATCAGTTGGGCAATGTTTTATTGATATATTTACAATTTTAAAGAAATTTGGAAGCCTATCAGTGCCTCTATCATTATAACAAAATACATTCTAAATATCTACACAGTTTGGCTTTACTTTTGGCTTTTTTGTCATAGAAAAATCAACAGATGCGCCTACCCCCTTCGCTCACCAGGATGTACAGCACTGAGATGCCAGAGTCCTGCCTCTGCCCTTCACTCTCAAACCACAGACTGCTTTCCACCCCAGTCCCATCACTCCTGACCCACAGGACAAGGTATGTGGGTGCAGGGTTTGTGGCTAGATTGTTGGGGGCACCGTGGATGTGGGGGGGCATATGGGGAGGCTGCTCAGGAGGGGTGGGTCACAGCCCCCCCACAGGGGCCACAGCTTCCCCCAACAGGGCCCACAGCTGCCCACTTGCTCTTCCCACCTGGTCCCAGCTCCCCACTTGCCCCCCCTGTCCGGTCCCAGCCCCCAACCGGCCCCAGTATCTCTCCACTCACTGGCAGTAGCAGTGGCCACTGGAGCCACTCAGGGTCTCATGGCACAGCCTCCCCACAGGGATTGGCCCTGGCCACCTGGCACCTGTGCTGCTGCTGCCACATCACAGGTGTGCAGCTTGGCTCAGCAAGGCACTGTGTGGCATCATGTGTTGTCAGGCAGCTTGGGGGTCGCTGTGGCCATCACTCAGGGCTCACTGCTGCTCAGCCCGAGCGGCCCAGAGTTGCCTGACAGAGTGGTGCTGCGCAGCTCCTTGCTGTGCCAGGCTGCACTCCCACAATGCTGTAAAGGCAGTGCAGATGCCAGGCGGCCGGGGTCGATCCCTACTGCCCCCCACCATGCTGGAGGGCTGTGCCATGAGGTCCCAAGTGGCCCCAACAGCCACTGCTGCAGCTGGTGAGTGTGGGGAGGTTGGGGGAACCATCAGGAAGCTGGGGCCAGGTGGGGAAGTGATCAGGGAGCTGTGGGAATGATGGGGGGGGTTGAGATGCTGCAAGAGGCACATGCAGCATGTACAGCGTTGGCAGCGGCCAGTGGGGATCGCGGACCACCTGCAGACACCACTGGTGTCGACAGCAGGGTGGCAAGTGGCAACCACCCACAGGTGCCGCTGACAGTGTCAGTGGTGCACCACCATGCTTAGGGGGGTGCACGTGCACCTGCATGCACTCCCTATGCACTGCCCCTGACGTGAGGGTTCATGTGGATGTGCCCACTGAAATCAATAGATATATGTGGATTTAAATAAGCTGACAAAGTGATGTATACAAGAGCTAGATTTTTATTATATGTAGACTCTAGGGTTAAATATAGACAGTCAAAAAGCCTGAGGCTGAATCAATTCAATCTTTGTAGGTTAATCTAAGCTCCATAGATTGAACTGATAATCAAGTGAACAGACATTCACTTTGATTCTGGAAATTCAGCCAGAAGGCGGGGGGTACTTGAACATGCCTCCATGCTTGGCTACAGCAGACAGCTTGGGCCAAGAGTAGCCTACCCACTCTGTGAGGGGCAGGGTTTGTAGGGAAGGTGCAAAACATCCTGGCATGTTGTGGGGACTGTGAGTTAACTTGAACCTGGAGAGGATTTGGGACAGACATTCAATAAACCAATTTAACCTAAAATCAGTTAAGCCTGACACAACTTCCATCCAGGTTTAAGTTAAACTGGTTTTGGCCATTATGAACGCAGTTTATGTGCACTGAGCTTCTGTTGTGTTACAGATTTGAACCAATTTAAGATCACTTATACCGGTTTATGTATAATGTCTGTCCCTAGCCTAGTTGACAAGGACCTTCTACTAATAAGTAAGTTCAGTATCAAAGAAAGCAAACATAGCCTTGCACTGAGACACTTTGAAGTGTAGAGTGCTAACACTAATCCATTCTGTTGTAACATACTGTAGGAGACAGCTCCTTACAAGTATAGTCACGCTTATCAAAAACTCAGCTGACAATCTGGAGCTACAGTTATAGGTACAGCATGATCCACAGACGCACAAAATTCCCAATATTTTTCACAATTTCATCTTAGAGAAAAATACCCCATTCTATCCAGAAGTCTATTAGAAGGCATATGGATAAAAAGAACTAAGCTATATAGGATATTTTGCTGGAATGCAGGTACAAGAGAGGAAAAAAAATGTTATTTCATTTTGACAAACAAGGAGACATTATTTTTTGTACTTATATATAAGGTTTGTATGTACATACCTTAGCCATGAGTGTTGTTCCAAAGCCACCTTGGTAGTTATTAGCAGAAGGTACTCCTTCCATTACTCCTGGAACAGGATTGTAAGTGTCACTTGACCAGCAACGACCTGAGCTCATATTTAGGATTTTGGCCAGCAGTTTTGGGTCAAGCCCTAACCTGTCAAAGGTCAAGGAAGAGAAGTGTTAATGTCAAAATGCACAAGATATGGGTGACTTGTTTTATATGTTAGGACCACACCATCATTTCTCTCCCTTTATTATAAGTCATGAAAAATGATAGAGTATTGATATTGGGGGTTGGGATGACCTACCTTAAATTAAAGAGCATCTATCTACCATTTAAGCAATAAGCTTTCAGCTCATGCTTTCTGCACTAGGCAAAGACCCTTCCACCTAGCAATTTTGAAAATGCAGGCAAAAATAAAAGATCCTCTGAGAATACCACTTCTCTTGCACATCAGTTGCTAAAAGGACAGATGGTATTGGTACAACTGATCTTCATATGCCTTCCCTCAAAATGATATTCTTTAAGAATTTACCAAAAACATCAAAACAAGGTTTTAGTAAATAAATAGTCATTACAGAAGTATCTATGCTACTGAATGGATGGGTATGTATGTATATGAAACAAAATATAAAGCAAGCAAAAAACGATACTGAAAAACATAAATGCTATTAAAAATGTAAAACGTTATGTTGTTCACATCTGCATCTTCTTTTAAATCTTCATTATACATTCTTGCTTATGAAGCAAGTCTGTATGGAACTGTGACATATGCTCTCTATCTATTCACAGACATGCATTATAGTTCTGGGTCAACTGCTGATAAGGTTACTGATCCTGATAAAACAAAGCTTGTCCAAGCAGAAACATCATTTGTTCTATCACTGAGCTGATGGCACAAGCTAGTGTTCAATGTGGACTTTAAAGAAATGCACTCATGACATTACTTTAAATACAGTAAGCTTTTAATCCTGTTACAATTTTGTGTTTTTATAAAAATCGAGTTGCAAATATAATTTTATGTGAACTGCATTTATATCAGTGATGGGTGCCAACAGTTTTGAGAGATTTTACTTCTTTTCCATTTCATTCTCCAAAAAGGGAAAAAGAAAGAGAAGAGACAATTCTCTCTTAATACTAACGCAAACAGAACAACATTTTTAAAAAAAAGATTTCACAACTTACTGTAGTCACATACTTCCTGCTGGGGGGGAGGGGGAAGAGGGGGAGGAAGATAAGCTAAATGCAAAACATGTTTCATATCATAATTCCAAGTCAGTTTCAGCTTCACACCAAGAGAAACTTCCTTCTCTTTGTACCAATTCTTATCTTTTCTGTGACAATAACCGATAACCAAGGCTTATGAAATAATGCTAGGAATTTCTGGTTACAGATGAAATATTTAAATACGATATTAAAGCTCATTATAAATGGAATACTGGCTACTTTAATAAGCAATATTTATTTCAGCAGTAATTCTTTGCATGTAAAACAGCACTTAATATGGTGGATCCTAAAGTCCATATACTGCTCTCTTGGCTGTCTGCAAATATTTATTTTCTATTTTTCCCAATAAAAAACACTTTTTTATATTTCTAAGATGCCTTTTAGAATTACCACTGTCATTTCTCTGTTTATGGCCTAATGAAAACATTTGAGTGAAGTCAACAAAAAGCCTCCTGCCGACTTAGAATCTAAGCTGTATTGCCTTACCCAATCTTTTCATTTTCCCTTATCATTTTGATTCTCTCAATTATTTTAAGGGTTTTTTTTTTAAAATGAAGAGGGCTCCCTGGCACCACTTCATTTTAATCTTCTGCTATAGGGCATCCAAGGTCTTAAAAGAAGTACTTTGTGACTAGAATTACTGTGACTGTTTCACTAAAATAGTCTGTACATTGGAGTACCAACTAAAAACAATGTTTGGAACATGTTACTCCTGATCTTTCACACATAGGTATTACACTCTCATCCAAACAGAGCACTTAAGTGCATGTGGGGGTGGGTGTATGCATGTCCATGTGTGCACACTACACAAGATAGTACTTTCAGCAGTAAAGCACCTCCTCGTATCATAACTGGTAGCACCCAGTAAATTCTAACTATAGCTTTTAGTGGAGTTTATGCTGTACAACCAGGGGCTGGCAAAAGGGAGAGCAGGGTATTACAAATTACATAGAATCCTAGCCCTGAAAATGAATATTGTCCCAAAAGCATTCCAATCAGTTCTGTGAACAAAATAGGTTTGAAAATAGATGTACTGTATATACTTAATATATTTTCAGCATTAAGTATAAAAGGAAAATGTAAAAATAAATTTTGCTCAGCATGGGAGAAAGAAGACCGTGTCAGTTTAAATCTCTGCTTTTCAAACTTCAATGCTCTTACCCACCATTCTCTTCAGGAGATCTGAGCTACTTTTTTTCCTCTTTCAGCAAGTGTATCATTAAAAAGAGCAAGTTAGAAGTGTTTTGCATTTCATCTTTCTGAGAATTCATCTACTGGTGCATATATAACTGACAGTTAAAATTAGACATGTATTAAAATCAGTTACTGAAGAAGTCCTCTGTCTTCCACTGTGCCCAAAGCTTGTAATGGTTTGAAACCAGCTAGAATATACAGTAATTGTCATTCAGCGAGAGTCTATCCTAGAAAGTCATGCTTCAGTGGAGAAGACTGAGTTTCCATTTGAAATCAACAAATTAATCCAAGACAGGTATCTGAAAGGGCAAGTTTAATAGGAAGCAGCTACTGGGCTCTCAACCATGATAAAATGTTATTGCTGTTTCCCTGTAAATTGGCTGGGAACATATGATATTTTCTGCATAAGAGCTCCATTGCTGTTCAAGAGATATACTGCTCAAGCTATCAAAATGATGACAGTCTGTCAGTCCCCATAATAACTTGCCACTGGATGTGGTAAGAGTATGGGTACGCGTGTGTGCATTTACAATTCCCAAAATGTTCTTCCGTATAAACAGAGAAAGCAGCCAGTCTCTTAACATTATTTATAACATAACAGAAAAACAATATCCGTGTCAAATTAATGCTTCTTCAACAAAAATCCTAAAAACCTGCAATAGATAAAAAGATCTGGATAAAACAAGAACAAAATCAGAACCACTGTTCAAAACTAAAACCCATTCTTTTAAGGTTCAAAATAATTATTTACTTTAATATTTTCACAAACTTCTCCCCACTTTCAGTCAAGAGCAGAAAGAAAAAAAAAAAGTGACATTCCATGAGAAAGGTACTTCATAAGCTACTGGCTGAATAAGGCCAAAGAATGAACGTGAGAGATTTTCAGGCTGAAATGCCCTGGATGAGGCATATGGTAAGTTTTAGATCATTATTCAGACAGAACCTTTTGAGACTCACTCATCACCAATAGAAATGTATTTTTCATTATGGATTTCATCATCCGAGTGCCTGGAGAGGACTATTAAGAATCTCACAGAGCTTGATCATGCATTTAGATATAGCCCCCATGTTGAGGGTAGCAGAGTCACACAACTGCAGAAGACACTTTATAAGACAAGGAATTCTGCCATGACGCCCCTTTCAAAACTTCCCAGGATACAGTGTACGCCCACTGCTGCAGCCTTCTTGGTAGAAATATAAAGAAGCTAAACATACGAACTGTATTATGATATTGTACTATTTTTATGGAAGTTAGTTACTGAGGAATTGTGGGTGCTACTTATACTGTATTATGAATATTTCTACCATTTTTTCAAATTGAGTAGCCCAAAATGAAAACAGCAGCAGACAGTTATTTTAGTGATTATAGAGACAACTACAAAAAAAATCTGTATAAGAAAATGAAAGAGCTGCTGCACTGCTTGAAAATGCTGCAATAGCGCTATAGCTCATTAACATAACCAAAAAGGTGTTTACAGTTTCTATTAAGCTTAAGTAAAGTGTCTGTTTGTTTTTGCAATACACTATGTTGCACGCAGACAGCTTGTCTATTTATGTAGTATGCATGAGCACATACCAGCAACAGTTTCATAAAATTAAAGAAGAATCTACATTCATGTGGGAAGGATGTTTAAATAGTTGGAGAACCTGAGGTTGCTAGATCACCACATACACGAGTTTATGATAATGATCTGGCTTATTTCTCAATTGAATATTTTGAATGGAAAACTACAGATCTGATGTTGCAAAGTGCTGAGTACCTTTTCATGGCAGTCTACATTTCATGGAAACAGGTTCCAAACTTTTCCCTTTATTATATATAGTCCTTACTACTTTTGACATTTTTAAAAATTATTTAAAAATGTTGTTATATATAAGTATTGAACATTCCAGCTATCTAGACATAAAGATAAAAATAAAAAAAATAGAAGGCCACTTGCATCTCCGTCTTTCTCTTTTAAGTCTAAAAATAATCTTGATTAGTTTTAGGATGTTTTTGTTAGTGGCCAATTTCTCTTTTATTACTGGAATTGTATCCATGTCTATCAAAAATATAGATGCAACAATCATTTTTTTGTTCAAAGAAACATACAAATTCCTAGCAGTTATAAATTGTTAAAACTTCCAGCAAACTTTCAGGCCATTAACAAACCTATATCACCTTGATAAATCAGGTTACATTTTCTAACTTTTCTACCCTAGCCCCTACAATAATTGGTTGGGTTTATCTACCAGAACTTGCAAAATTTTATTGTGTTTGAGCATTTCTGCGAGCAACTGAGTTAGAATACATGATAACAGCTACAATATAATGGCCAGATTAAAGTTGGACAAATTATATTTGATATCATGTCAATTACATGCACTTAAGCCTAGAGACAAGTAGTTAGTCATGTTAGTCTGAAGTCATGGCACAGTGGCAATTTAAAGACCAACTCATTCAGGAAGCATAAGCTTTGCCAGGCAATAGCCTACGTAGTCAGATGCTATAAAACTTGGCTGTAAAAGTAGGCAAATTATTTTGGATGACAATAATATCATATTTAGTAGCATCATATTTGAACTAGATGTCACACTGGGTTAATGCATACAAAAATTTCACCTGTGGAATTATAAGTATATAGGTACTCTCTTACGAGCTTGACCCAAAGCCCATTACAAAACAGTGGAAAGAGTCCCATTTACTTCAAAGGGTTTTGGATTAAGATCTATATAACAAAGCCCAATATGGTTTAGTATGAGGAGCAGTTTCTCCTAAAAGAATACTCAGAATAGGAATAATCAGAGGCTGCCAATCAGGAATGAGCTGCATGACCAGTGCTGTGGGGCAAGAAAGCTGGCACTCTCAAATGCTATGAAAACATGAGTTTTATATAATCCAAACACAACCAAATGCTCCAAAAAACAAAAATAAGATGGAATTTGAAAGTCCAGACACAAGCTACAGTGGTTACAGACACCAATTAGTTTTGCCTAGGATTTTGGTGCCAGGCATTTAAAAAAAGAAAAAAAAAAAAATCACCCCTAGAAATATGGAGAAAAGTATAACAAGAAATCAGTTGCACATGACTTTATTAAGTGAATGTTGACTAAAAACTGACTATGATACAAGCTTTACACCACAGTGAATTTCAATAACTGCATACAACTGTACTGCTTTTATAATAGCTTGATGCAGATATGCTTCACTATCTTACAGACGCTCAATTTTAAAATGTAAATGGTACAGGATATTGATAAACCAATTAGCACTGATGCAAAGCAAATTCCTCTTTTATCTCAATTACAACATGACAACTTAATAGGTCAAGATAGTCTAACATCTGAGACAAGGGCAATTCAATAAAACAACCGCATCTTGATATGGTAATTAAGAGGAAATGTGAATCCATTACCCTGCCTTGTGAGCGTGCACATGCATGTGTATACTTGCTTCTCAATTTAAATAATCTAATGCCCCGTAACAGTTTTTAAATTTTTTGTCAACCTCAAAGTGACACAGTGACAACATCTGCAGTTTTTGATGCAGAGTCATAAGCGTGTGTCTATAGAGATCAATAAAAACTATGTATTTATAAATTTCTCTCAGAAGCAAGGACTTCATCACAGATAAATCTGCAAACTCTATTATGCAAGTCTGAGAAAGAAAAATATTGCTAAATTTAATTAAAAGTTGCAGAGGCTTACACACAAATGATTATGAAATAAAATTTAGGAAGTGTAAATACACGCATACAACCCAAATCCCTTAAAAATGGAAGGAAAACTGCTTCTTAAGTAAACTGTTTCAGTGTTACTGTTTACAACTTAGATACATCATCTAATCAGTCCTCTTACAACAGGAAACTGTTTAAGCAAAGTAATAGAATCTACATTGGATTTTTCACAAGGAAGTATTGTGGTGAGCATGACAAACTACAGCAGTTAAGTTTGACAGGAGGGTAAATTGTCTTTTTATGATTGCATCCTAATTTCTATTGAGATATACACAAATGCTAGCAGTTTCTTTTTAGAATTTGTTTTGAACAATATCTAACATAGGCAAATAAAGCCAAATGGAGCTATGTGGAAACATAACACTGAGAGATACTCTATATTAGCTTTTGCTTCAAGTAAAACTACCTCCGTATTATCTCAGTACATCTACATATAGTGAGCATATTGTGTATTGCATCGTAATAGAGGAAACTGACATTGTATAAAATACAGTATAAGTTTAGAGGGGAAAATATAATAGTTTATAGCCACTGCAAAGAACACTCCTGTTCTCACGAGTCCTACTTTTGGTTAAATAAATGAGCTCTGTTACATTCTAATAACAGAACACTTCTAAATTTTTTTTCTGGCAGAATCTCATTTATACCATCTGATAGTTATTTTCTCACTATAGAAAAGTCAACCAGCACAGAACAGACACTGCTATTATAAAAAACCAAAAAACCAAATATGAAATCTAACAAACCTGATTCCAAGATTCATAGCTTCAGCAGTTCCAATCATACTGATAGCTAAGAGCATGTTGTTGCAGATCTTGGCTGCCTGAAAATAAATTAAATAACCAGTGAGCTCAATTTTCATGTAGCTATCTTGTAGGAATTTTCTTCACCCAACTCCAGCAGAGAATTGTGACTGAAGATATTCAGACAGCCTCTCCCTAAAGGTAACACCGGAAGAGTACTCTAGCATCAAGGCAATGGAAGCTGACCTATGGCTTCTTCACCCAGTGGGAAACTTTTTTTTTTGTTGGCCCAGTAACTCCATTTGTAATGCTTCAAATGTAGTGGTTACTTTCAGACGACACCATAAATCTACCACTATGATACAAATTAGTTTAGACGTGTATTTTAATGCATTTTATTCTGGTAAAAGAATCAGCAAACAAACAAAAAGATTCAGAAATGATAACGGCCTTAACTGTGGATTCTGGAACTAAGTAACTTATTGTGAGGTATATTACTGGGAATGGGATTAGAATGGAAAAACAACATAAGGGAAAAGGTCAGACTGACTGTATACTTCACAAGCATTACCTGTCCAGTTCCAACCTCTCCACAATAGACCACACTGGAACCCATGCATGTCAGCAACTCTTTGGCAGCATCAAACTCTTGTTCCACTCCACCAACCATGAAAGTAAGGTTTCCAGCTTGAGCGGCTCCAACTCCTAAATCAAGACAACATAAGATGCAGCACTTTTAAGGGGGAAAAAAAAAACCAACTTATTTATGTAGGCCCTGATCGGGTACAGCATGCACGTACTTACTGTTGCATGTGTGAACAGATCAAATTCATTTAATGGAGAAAGAAGGTTGAATAAAGTTATTATTCAACCTTATATTGAAGAGGAACATAAGAGTACTTATATCTTTACAGGATCAAGAATTTAAAATTTCTGAATATATACTGATGAAACATATGCAAGCCCAACTCTAAATTCATCTAAAAGGACTGGGGAGCTTTATTTTTTAAATACTTAAATTCTGAGAAAGAAAATAAGGTCATAAATAAAATGATGTGACATTCAGAATTTGAATTTTGCATCATTTTTATCTGATTAAAATAATCACCATATAATGGAATGTTGCATACCTCCAAATAGCTCTTTATGGAAAGCACCTAAAGAAGTGGCTATTTTAGCATTTAAAAACCTATCAGTATCTTACTGCTATGAAGTTTTTGGTATTCAAAAATGAAACTACTTTTTATAAGAACTATTAGCACCTTAAGCACACCTTCTAAAATAGTTTGTTTTCAACCATGCTTAAATCCAAACACAGAGGAGCCAAAATAAAAGCTTGCTCTCCAGTTCGTCAGCAGAGCTTCACTACAAATACGTTGCATGCTGCTAATCTCAAAAACAGAAGTTTGTTTTCTCCTCTACTTGGGGAAATTGAGGCCAATATTTCTATACATAATTTACAACAAAAAGAGAACTTCAAAACCTTTTAAACAGACAGAGAAAAAAAAATTAACATCCCTAACATTTGCAGTTTCCTTTCTGTAAGTATGTCCTATCTTTAACATCCAGGGACAGCATTATACCACTAAATGAAAAAATATCAAGATTTATCCTATGATATTTAGCATCAAGATTAAATGCTTAGAAAATAATTCTAAGAAAAGAATTAGAAAAGAATTCTAATGTCACTTTGAATTACATCCTTAGTCACCACCTCCACCCTCCCACCAACTTATTTTAATGGATGAAACTGCTATGTGAATTTGGCCCAATAATACCACTTGGAAAAAAGAGATTAATACCTTATCTTTCCTACTTATTTAGTAATACATCTACAAAGCTAGGCACCATAAATTTCTGTGTTATGCATCAAACCTTGGCCTATTAGGACAGTCAGCTGCAAGTAATGGCCTACTTTTGAATTTAATGTATTCAACCAGTCCAGTGTTTTTCCAAAAAGGCCAAATGAGACTATTCATTTTTCTTCCACACTGCAAATGACTTTGTTCTGCAGTAACAACAACTCTCTTCCTCAGTTAAGGTTGGTACTATGATTAACCAATTAGCTAGGATGATAGCTATTATTAAACGATTATACTGAAGTGGTACCCTGAGATCTAAGTGGGATCAGGCTTCATTGTGCTACATGTTGTACAATTACATGCAACAATGCAGTTCAAATCTTAAACAAATGAGCATAACCTTTGGGGAAAAAACCCCAAAACCTGACAAAGCAATCAATTAAATTAATTTATTAAAATTATACTCCATTTAAATGGGAAGCTCCATTTACATTTTCCCCACTAAATGAAAATATTTCATAAAAAGGTAATCAAACTACTACCAACACAGTAGTTTGGATCATCCAACCATATGTCCAAATCACTGTAGTAACATAAAGGTGTTCATGGTCTAACAGCAGTATATTAACATCAAAAACAACCATAATAATAATTCAAACAAGTTAAATAAATGTCCTTCCCCCTGTAGGTGCTAAGGATGTTTAGACAAGGAAGCTGGTATCTTTACACAATATAGTGGTCAGGGTAAAGCATCACAGGTTGGACTACCTTTGTTATGTGGAGCCCACCTCTACAAGAACTACCAACATCAGCACCACAGAATTTGGAGTAGAGGCTGCCAGGTTTTTATTTAAAAATAAAATACTGCAAAACTTTTCAAGGCATGCACTCCACATTCCTCCACTGCAAAGAATTTTCCAGCAGAGGTGAGAGGTAAGGGACACAATATAGGCTGTCCATGTGCAGTGCTAGAGTCACTCCTCAGCCTTGGAGGAAGGATTCCTCTCTGGTTTCTTTCTCCAGGTAACTTCTTATGCCCAACTCAAACCTAGGTTAGGGACAGAAGCTTAGATTTGGACCCCAAATAAACCAGACCACTGTCAGCTCTTGACCACTAATTTTTCATGCTCAATGACTGGACAGATCACTACATTAATAAAAATGCAGTGTTTTTAATTCTGTTCCCCCAATGTTTTTATTCAAACCACATAACAGCCTTTACCACTAATCCTGTGATCTGACCTGCAGCAAATTAAGTAGACAATTTAAGTCAAAGCTTACAAACAAAATCCAGTACTATCCATCATAGGTCAATAGCCTTGTATCTAGATTACAAACTGCTAAATAGCTTCAGAGACTCATTTATTAGAGCAAAATTAATGCTGACAATAGTTTTCAGCTGGTTAATCTTTTGACAGCTGTACTCTCTCACTTGTTCAAACACTTACATTTCAAGTAAAAAAAATAAATTAGTTAAGCAAAAAGAAAAGAAAAGAGCAATTTGTTGTGCAATGTAGAAGTCTTAGAAACATTTCTAATTTAAAACAACACCCCCCCCAAAACAGAAGCTAAAAAAACCCTATTTCCATCATGGTGGGTTTTTCCATCAAAATTTCCTACTAATTCTCAGCGGGTGGAAACAAAAAGTAATCCAACATACATCTACTGCTGACAATTTAAGAGAGGAAATGCAGTCAATCTAACCTTGAAAAAAAAATTTCAGCTGCAAACAGAAGACAGAAGTTTGCATCCTGCAAGTAGGACCACTCATTTTACTTTAATATTCTGGAATACAGTAGACCACCACCACTATAGGCTAAGATGGAGCTGTCAAAAGCTCACACTACATGAGTAAAGGAAAAGGAGGATGAACAATGGCACGAGTCACCATTTTATTTCCTGTCTACTGAGGTGCATCTTATGCCTGTTAAAATAGTATTTATGTATCCCTATTAGAGAAAGAATTTCATGTGCATCTTCAGGATTATTCTGCTCCTGCAGAGACCTGCAAACTTTTTCTCTTCTATTTATAAATTATGGGACTGGCCTCTGAGACAGCATTTGTTAGTAGCACAGGTTTGTGCTTGTTTCTCCTGTAGGAAGAAAAGATTGTTATCCCATTTTAGCTCCAGTCCCACAACAGGCTAGTCTAGCATGGTGTCTTATGGCCCTGTGAACCCTTAATGAAGTCTTGCTAGCAGACTGCAAGATACAAATCAGTGGCCACCACACTAGTACAGCATCCCACCCTGTATGTATATTGCTGTATGGCCATAGGACAGTTTGTGTGACCGGACCCTGGAATAGACTCCCAGCGGGAGTGGTGAAGGCACAAAAGGAGACTGGACACACACCTTGCTGGGGTTACTTAATCCCAGCAGTCTTTCCTACCCAGAGCAGGGGGGCTAGATCCGATGATCACATGAGGTCCCTTCCAGCCCCAAACTTCTGTGAACCTGTGACTGTAAGAGTAGGAACAGAGCTAGAGCAATGAAAATACCATATTTACTTGAACAGAAGACAAGGTCTCTTTCCCCAGTCACCACTGGGGAAAAAAAAATCTCATTTTACATTCACATACAAAAGAAACCTCATTAAATACACAGTCTATCATTAAACTACTGCCAAAAGCAGCATGCGCTCAGTAATGGAAGCCAACTAGGAAGTTGATTAAATGAAGCCAATGCTGAGCATGACTATAAAACACATGGCCCATATTGAACAAACACAGGCCTTCAGGCCTGGGGCTTGTACATAGGATGTCTGCCTGGTTTTGGAAAGTATCTGAATCCCCAGACTGATGGGTCTGAGAAGGAGAATACTTGCCTGGTAGTAGAGCCACAAAGACTTATACGATTGTGCTCTGCTCAGTCAAATTTTGGAACTTTACTGTTGGACTATGCCTAATGAATTTGGAACTGATTTGCCCTTGAAAATAAGATTAAAATAATATTATATAATTATACAATATAAAATCTTGTAATATATATATTATATGCTAGATCTATAAGTAGATAGATAGATAGATAGATAGATAGATAGATAGATCCTACCACAAGGACAGCTTAGGGAAGTCATCCGAACAAGTGGTAGCGTCCATCGTGCGCAGTCACCCTCAGCACTGACTTTTCCAAGTCACGTTGAGCCACTAAACTGAATACAATTCAGCTTTCTCTTCACTCCCATAGCCGAGCTGCACCTGCCTCTCTCATTTCCAATGATCCCTGTTTCTTCACCAGCCTTAAATGTCTGGCAGACATCAGATGGAGTCCTTAGCAGTTCACCCAGAATCCCTCTGTTGTCCCCTCTCTCAGACTGTCACCTATGATTAATGTAGCCCTGCCCTCCTAGAGGTGGAGCCAGACCAGTTTGCCTTGCGCCTCATCTGCATATATGTGGGGGCTAATTAGCATATGGATCCTTTGGTGGGAGGGGGATCTGGAGTACATACAAGTACTGGGCACTGCTGAACTGCAGGGTCACCATGGCTTGAAACACTGTTGACTCTGTGGGGGCCCAGAGCAATGACCTATCTGATAACTCAAGAGTAGAACCTCCCAACTTCATAGCAGAAGTGGACTGCATGGCAGCTCCTTAAATCTTGCTGGTTCTCCTGTACACCCTCCCTTGCTGATTGGTAGAGGGACCCGGTCATGAACACCACATGCCCCTGGTGGCTGGGGGGGCACAGCGAGCTCTGGCAGACAGTGGCGGTGCAGTTGGCAATATGAGCATGGTGGTGGCATGTGGGAAGCTGCCGCAGGCAGCTACAGTGCTGTTGGCGGGGGGGGGGGTAGTGAGTGCCAACTAGTGGTCGATGACTACCCGCAGACGCTGCCAGCAGTGGCCAGTGGCAATTGCTGATGCTGCCAGCAGTGTTGGCAGCGGGGGGGAGGCAGGGTG